ACGGGCCTAGGCGAGGTACCTCCCGTGCAGACCATTGCTGTTTTGACAAGCACAGCGATCGACGAATCCTTTCTCGAGATGGCCCTTGCAAAGCTCGGTCTGACCGCCCTCCTTCTCTCGGTGAACAACTCCGTTCCAGCAGTGGCACACCTCACCAAGCTCACCAACGCCACCCACCTTATTTACGGCACGAAATTCGTCCAAGAAGCACATGACGCGCAGAAGCTCCTTCGCGACCAAGAATACGCGGTGGAGCTCGTCGAAGATAAACGTTTCCCTTTGTGGGGTCCCGAAGGGGTCGAGAGCATCAAGATTAAACCCTTCCCAGCCGTTCTGACACCAGAACAGGAGAGCAAACGACCCGCTGTCATTCTGCACTCTTCTGGCTCGGTGAGTCCTTTCCTGATATTTTCCAGTATGTTTCCACGCCTCGACCTTTCCTTCATAGACCGGATTCCCTAAACCAGTCCGCATTACCCACTATGGTCTCATTGCAAATGTCGCGTTGAACCAGAACAAGCCTGGTTTCAGTACCCTGCCTGTGTTCCATGGATACGGTCACTTTGCTGTGTCAGTTTCTTTGCCTTGTGGTCCATTGACGAAAACTAACTTACTCTATCCTTAGATTCCGGTGTATCTATCCCGGTCAACCGCTGACGCTCTTCCCGCCTCATCTGCCTCTAACATCCAGTAACATCTGTGCCGTACTCGCTGCATCTCCTCCTGTCCGACAATGTTATGCTGTACCATATGTTATTAAGGTATTATTTTCCTTCATATTTCCTATAAAGCTTGCGCTCACAACAATCATTGTAGCTCCTTGCGGAAACGCCTGAAGGCGTCAACGCTCTAGCCAGTTTTGATATCGTCGGATATGCAGGTGCTCCTCTGCCCGTAGGCTCCTCACTCATACACCTCCACTTCTTTTTTAATTCCGTTTATAATCAGGATGATCTAGGTGACAGACTCATCCAAGCTGGAGTGAACTTGCTTAGCATCTACGGAACAACAGAGGTAAAAATAGTTCCATTCATCAATAAACCTAATTCACCTATTGCAGACCGGATCTCTGATGAATTCCAACCGCAACTTCGCGACGGACAAACTCTGGAACTGGACCCGCCCTCTGCTCGGTTCAGCCAACTATCTCGTTTGGGAACCACAAGGTGGTGACACATTTGAAGTTATCGTCAAGGACGGGTATCCTCCCAAGGTTTGTTAATCTCTTCTCGACTTTGGAGTGCACTATCTCAGCACTTCTTAGATCGAGACCAACCGCCCCGACGGTTCCTACGCGACCAAGGACCTCTTCCTCCGACATCCCGAGCGCAAGGACTTGTACAAATACATCGGAAGGCTTGATGATACGCTCGTCCATATCCTTGGAGAGAAGACCAACCCCGGTAAGAATCCATCTAGCCGATCTATCCCTGCTGACTAGCGATACAGTCCCCATGGAACTCTGCATCCGAGGAAACAGTCCATACGTTGCGGAAGGTAAAGCCAGCGTCATTTATAGGTTTCCGCCCACTGACGTCTTCCCAGCCATTATCTTCGGCGCCAGCAAACCACAAACAGGATGCTTAATTCTCCCCTCCGACCTCGCACATGAAGAAGGTCTCTCCCGAGACGAGCTCGTGTCCAAAGTCTGGCCCGTCATTGAGCAAGCCAATGCTGAAGCACCGACACATTCACGGTTATTACCCGAGATGGTAGAATTCTTGCCGTGCGTGTCCGTATGCTATTTCGCGAGAGAGAAACTGATGGAAAAAACACAGGTATGGTACAGATATCCCGGTGGCCACCAAGATGAGCATACTCCGACCGGCATGCTATGCAAAGTTCAAAGACCTCATAGGTATGTCACTTACTTTGATACCAGCCAATAGTACCATGATTAACTGGTATTCAGAAAGTATCTACGCCCGGTTCGACCGAACTGACGTCGAGGTGGAGAAGAAAACGCTACCGCGGGAAAAGCTGGAGATGTACATCTTTGACACGATCGCCAAATCCCTTGGCCCCAGTCGCTCGGCAAAGCTCGATAGAAAAGTAGATCTCTTCGCATTTGGAGTGGACTCGTTACAGGCGACGAGGATACGGAATAGCTTGCAGAAGGAGCTTGAATTGGGGACTCATAGCCTTGGACAGACAGGTAAGGGAGAACATTTTACTTCCAGAAGGATGAAAGACTCACAGTTGCCTTGCTAGTGGTATACGAGCATCCATCGGTGGAGAAGTGTGTCCATTTCCATCCTTGATTGGGCCCCTAATATTGACGCTTCACCAGACTTGCTGATTATCTCCTGCGATTGCAAAGCGGTAGTGGCGCTCAAGTAGACAATGGACACGAAGCTACGATGCTGGTACTGCTCGATAAATGGAGTGCCAAGGTTGGCAAACATACAACCAGAGCTACTGCTCTACCGAAGCCTACCGACGCACGCGTAATCGTAAGCCCGGATTCCTCACACCTCAAAACAAGAGACTCACATCACTCATGCATAGCTCCTCACTGGCGCAACAGGATCCCTTGGCGCTCATATCCTTTCTCAATTAACAGCGTCCTCTTTCGTTCGAAAGGTCGTCTGCCTGTCCCGCGCCAAGTCTCATGCGGAATCTATGGAACGACTCCGAGAGTCCATTACCGCCAGAAAGGTCTCCGTCGACGAAAACAAGGTCACGTCGTACGCAGCAAACGCTAACGACCCTCTCCTCGGGTTGACAGAAGAAGAGTACGGCGCTCTGCGAGATGAAGTAACAGACGTCATCCACGTACGTCACAACCTCACCTTCCTTCCGTGCCGTGGTATTCACTTTGATTCAAAAACAGAATGCCTGGCCTGTGAATTTCGTGCTCAACATTGAGTCCTACGACTCGCACATCGGTGGTGCGGTGAACCTGATCAACTTGTGTCTCGAGTCACCTTTCTTTGAGCCTGCATCATTCGCGTTCAGCTCGTCCATCAGCTGTAGGCAGGGATCCAGGGACGAGACATGTTCAGAGGGCTTTTCTCCTGCACCGTCAACTGCTGCGGGAACAGGTTACGCGCAGAGCAAGTGGGTCGTGGAGAAGCTGTGTGAGCGCGCGGCGGAGAAAAGTGGGGTGCCAGTATCCGTTCTGCGGATAGGCCAGATGGTCGGCGATTCTGTGCAGTGGGTGGTTCCGTCCTCGAGAGGGGAGTGTATGCTGATTTTCTCCTTTGAAGCGGTGTGTGGAACGAAACGGAGGCGTGGCCGTTGATGTTCAGGAGTGCGAATACTGTGGGCGCGCTTCCTGTGGTTGACGAGCATCCATCGTGGCTACCTGTAGATTTCGCGGGGAAGAGTATAGCGGAGGTCGTATTGAACGCGACGAAGCCCGCTACGGCTGTGTATCATATCGTGAATCCCAACACATCGGCACATTGGAAGGATCTTCTTGGGGAACTAGAAGCATCTGGTGTGAGCTTCGAGCGTGTAGATAAGAACGAGTGGGTAGAGAGGCTGGCAAAGTCGGATGAGGACAGAAAGAAAAATCCGACTATCAAGTTGTTGGTGAGTACCTCTCTTGGTGGGCGGCTATAGGTGACTCACGCGTTGTGTGGCAGCCGTTCTTCCGTATGAGATATGGGCCGTCACATAGAAAGCCGATGGTGTTCTTGACAGAAGAGACGACTAAGATCGCCCCGAGTCTGAAGCAGGCACCGACCGTCAATGGGGAACTTGTGGAGAAATGGGTAGCACATTGGCGAAAGACTGGATTTATTCACTGATTCTAGAGAAAAGAGAACTGGGTTTTGTAGGATATAGAGAAGGGTTCGGTAGAGAAAATATGTACTTCGTTCGCTTTGTCCTTGGCTGGTCCTGCCGCAGTAAATACAGTCTTCTTCAAGCTTCGTCATGCTCAGACGGCAATAAACGGGTATAAGGAAATGCCCATATCATCTGTTCCCAAGGCTGTGTCAGAGCCTGCATCGAGAAGATAACGATTTCGTAGACCAGTTAAAAGGACGGCGATATTTTGGCATAGCTGCAGCTACATCTTGGAGCTTTCATTGGGATGAAGAGGTGTAAAAGTAAGCATACACACCTAGCCTAAGCAACAGAAGTCTCAAGCGATTCCCCCCCACACACACATCTCCGTCACAAAATCCGCTTTGCAGTGCATGGCACTGAGTACATAACAATGCCGCGATAATTCATAGCAGTGGCACGTCAGCCATTCATGAGCATGAACTGCCGCGGGTGGGAATGTACTGACAGAGTACAGCTACACCTGGGTTCGATGTACATGCAGGGCAAGATAGCGGAACGGAAGCATAGCGGTGGATCCTAAATTACCTGTGCCTAACAGACGCCGATGATTAAATTTCCCGGAACGATGATTATATACTGACCAGTGGGAACTAAGCAGCGTCCTCGAACCACATGGGACCTTCGGGACATCCAAGCTCCTTGCTGAGCGTCTCCACGACCTCAGCATGGTCTTTATCCTCAAGTTCCCGGTCTTCTTGAGTGTGGTTCGAATAGAGCGCAAGAACCACATTGTAGTCAACGGAAATGGGACACGCGAACTTGATTATTGTGCGACAGAGGTGTTGGAGATGGCGGACTGTGTTGATCATGGAGTACACGACGAGGCTTGCTCGAACATCTTCGGGGTCATTGCTCTTTGGTTCCTTGATGAGGTTATGTTGGCGCGCATAGTTGATAAGCCACTGGTAGGTAACGCCGAATCTATATTGGTATTGACACGGAGGGTAATCTGGGTCGGTGACTGTGTATTCGCTGGGGAGCTCCTTCATGGGCTTCGTCCGATCTCCAAAACCGGTCCATCTCTACGTTCGAGTCAGTGGAAGAATAAAAGTGTGGAATATTTTCCTACAAGATGTCGTCGAAAGATTTCTTCAGCCTCAAAGTACGCGTCGTCTCTGACAAGGATGATGGCTTATAAGGTAGATATAGGCCTGAGATAAGGTTTATAAGGTTTATATTATCTTTGTATGACCGACTCATAGGGCACTATAGCCAAGTGGTTAAGGCGACAGATTAGAATAGAACGTAAATCCTATCTGTTACTCTCTGAGTGCGCAGGTTCAAATCCTGCTGGTGTCGCAAATAATGCTTGATTCGTATATTTTATATTTGTTAAATATGTACTGACCAAATTAATTCTTGAAGTTTGAACGTAATTTTTTATTTTCCCAGTGCTCAGGCAATAGTTCGAAGCAATGCCCGTCGCCTCAATTTCCTAGTAACCAGACTCTTTGATACAGCAAAGGCCAAAGTGTTGGACTATGAGTGCGTTACTACCGCCAGTGGCTGTGCTGCATATTATTTCGTTACCATCTACCATTCACGCGCGCAGGCGTAGGGCATGAAAAATTGGTGCAGAGCACAATTCTGCGCTACCTCTCTGGCCAGGAAGAATGCAATACTTAGTACGGGGATCTGCTTCTTGACACGCTCATAGGTGAATTCACTGCGCTCCGACCTCCGATTACCAGCGTTGCACAGGTGATCCTTCCCATCCGCTGCGGTTCATGCCATTCTCCATTTCTGTTTGGCCTCTTTTCAGTTAGCTTATACATCTGGGTGAGGTGCAGAAGGAGCGGCGAGTTATGGTTGAACAACAACCCCCCTCCTCACTGTACGAAGTCATCTATACTCACACGGCTGATGTGTTCCAAAGGAATGCGGCGGTGTAGGAGAAGATGCGTGTCAGTGTTCTTGCTCCGATTCATGTGGAATGATTTTACCTCGACCAGTACGTGCATTCTTCCAGTCCTTATCCTTCGTCAAATATTCTTCTTCACATATCATCTTGTGCCTTTGCTTCGACTCCCAGAGACGCGGTGAAGTTTTATTACTTCGAGTTCTAGGTCCATTCGAACGTACTGCCAAGAGAAAGGGATAGAAAAGACGTTTTGATTGGACGTCACGGTCTCTTTCCTCTGATGCAGGGACTTGACAGAGATGGTCGGTATTACTCGTCTCTCCGCCAGCCCATTGTAGCTTAATGCACCAGGTTCGACTCCTGGAGGCGAAATATGATGGTGCCGTGATCTTTCCCTCTTTTGGTTGTGACCGAGCAGTGGTCTTGGCGGATACAACAAGTCCGAATGATTTTTTTGCGCTCTGCCTTGGTTTTTCTATCGAGTCCTTGAGGTAAATTACGACTGCGCATACGCTCCTTTGCACCCGCGGCTTACGTATCGGTCACTGCAAGCTGCAACGACTCTCTGACTTGGGGGTGGTGGCGGGACAAGACGCGTCTGGAATTTGTTTTTGATTCCGTCTCTGTACGTTGAAGTTTAACGTTTAGGCCTAAGCTTAGAGATGTTTTCTACTGGAGACGCGCGTCCCGTCCTTCGGTTATTCTTATTCTTCCCGCACATTCGCAATAGTATCACGCTCTCGTACGTCCTCGCCCATTTTCTCGTGGCCCCACTGTGCTCCAGAAGTAAACATTCCATAGTTGATGCACACGTTCGACTCGTGTCGTGGTCTTCGTTAATGGAACCAAGCAGAGTAATCTTTTCTGCACCGTACCTTGTTTTGAGCCCTTTCTTGTTTACAAGCTGTCATCGTTGCCATTGATGTTCATCGTGAAGGGACGCTACAGTCAAGTGGTCAAGGCCGGATGTACTACAGGTTCGAATTCTGCTAGTGTTCTCTTATCTCTAGTGTTTCTTTTTATGCATTAGATTCTTTTGAATGTACCTTTCAATCTTCCTTTGCTAGCGCTGCTCATCCCGGAACAATCTTTGGAACAAAAACACCGAAGCAATTTGTCACCCTTTAGCAGTGACTGTGCCGTATCTTTCTTGCCAACCGACAGCCATTATGCACCGCGACATTTTTCGTCTCACATACCGTGGTTTATTCTAATCGTTTGACTATGATCTCTTTCGAACATGCGGCAAGGATATGTAGCAATGCGGTCCTGCAAGAAGACTGGATCACGACTACTACTGTTTAACGAGACTGAGCTGAAGTTCTGATAACGGCTCCTACTCACATATAGAGGAGGTCAGCACTGGGAAAATGAGGATTATATGAGCATTTGTGGCTCTCGACGATGGAGATGACGTATGGATATTCCTGGTGCGTTACTGCTTGTTATTCACGATCAGCCCTTGTTTTTCTTTTAGATCTGGCCTTTGGCTTGTTGGTGCGCAAGAGGGCTGCGAATGACGCGATGTTAGGTCTTTCCCTATCGACTTACGATCCACCCGGCAAGACAACACAACGTGCAAAGTATCCGATGCTTAGTTCGCGCGCACGTGCTGTCCCCGCTGTACTGGTTACCTCCAAAGGCAACAAAATTCCTGTGCTGAGACTCATAGAGGACGCGCCAAACACCAACACTCTAACCATACATAATCGTTGGACAGAAATGAGCGACCTTTGGTTTGGTAGGAGCACAGGCGCGGATGTATGAGACACGCATTCCAACATATTACTGGCTAGGGAGCAGAAAGAAGAAATTCCCAGCTTGAAGGTTTATCGACAACGCCGACAAAAGTGGTATCGACGGGGCTGCAGTTCTTCCAGCTGAACAACGACTGTGAGTTAGATCTGTCGCAAACGCGATTCCTAACACGGTTTACAAGACTTAATACCGCGAAAGGTCCTTGAGAATGAAGCAGAAGGTAATAGAACATGAACGAGAATTCCAACGCGACCGACCCCCAGGCCGAAGCCGGCACAGCCATGTGAGCTGGAGATCTCGCACAATATCCGCCTCATCTTGCACCTCGCGATGACAGTTAGTCAGCGTATTCGGAAGCAAAGAGCCCAAATATGAATGGGAACTAGACTTCATCCTGTATATCTTGCGGTATTGAGGCTGTTGAACGGATGTATCAGGCGCCACTTACCTTTTTGAGGCCACGCTTATACTCACGCATGCTTCAGGTCTGTGCTGTCCACGAAGCCAGCTCTTTATTGGAATGTACTGGGGTTCAGTATTTTCTGGTGATTTTTTGTAGCCTCCGGCTAGCGCAAGAGTGATCCAATATACTGGACGCGCATTCATCTCGACTGAAGCTTAGTCCGTAGGTCGCCCTTCTGTTCATTTATTCGTCTACCCTGTCAGCCGAATCCAGAAATGCTCGAAGGAAGGTGCAGCATCCGTTGATCGGCTCACCTCCCAAGGGAATCGCGTAAAAGACTATGAATAATCACTACAAAAGCTCTTCCTCTGACACGATAAGGGTTCAAGGGCTATCCTGGCCCGAAATCGTTTGTCACAGTTGCTGACGATACTGGCAGAACGCGGGTGATGCCAACGCAACCATCCACCGCCTTCGCCGGGACACAGTCTCGATGAATAATACCAAAGATGCTGCAATAAAAGAGACCGTGTACAGACTCGACTGTTCAGTATTCCCCGAACATGGCAGATCTCAATGTGGCTACGGTGATGTCGCTGTCTGGACGAGTAGGTCTCGTTACAGGTGGAGGCACAGGGATGTAAGCCTTATGATCCTCAATCGTAACTCACGGTTGACTCTTTGACAGAGGATTTATGATTGCTAAAGCTTTCGCTGCAAATGGAGCGAAAGTATACATCACTGGGCGAAGGATGGATGTGCTAGAGCAAGCTGCAGCGTCAGTCACAGGCATCCCAGGATCCATTGTCCCGTTAGTTATCCTCTGTGTTGTAGGATATTCATTGTTAACGCTTACGCAGACTCCAGATGGATGTGACAAATGAAGAAAGCGTCAGGGCTGGTGCAAAACACATCGAAGGAATCGATAGCAAGCTCGATATCCTTGTCAACAAGTCTGCCTATAGTATCCTCAATTCCCTTCTTTCATATGCTAATCTTTTTGCAGTGCTGGCTTCGGTGCCTCCCGCCGCGACCCAGACTTTTCCGCAATGAAGCTCGCAGCATTAGATCCCTTTGAGCCCGAGACGGTACAGGATTGGGTGGATATCTTTGCACTCAACACCATCGCTCCGTTCTTCGCCGTTCGCGCCTTCCAATCTCTCCTCATCAAAGGAGCGCATTCCCGTCCTCAAGGCACGTCGAGCGTTATCAACATCAGCAGCGTGGCGGCAAAGCTGCACACACCAGTGGATACGGGCTGTGTATGTGCTGTCGTTTTCTTCAAAATTTTGACTCGGAACTAACTTGGCTTACTAGTTGGCATACGGCCCGACGAAAGCTGCTTTGGAAAAGCTCACATTCGTTCTGGGGACGAGCTTTGCTGGAAGAGGTATCCCGATTCGAGTGAACGCGCTGGAGCCTGGCATCTTTCCGTCGGAGATAGCCACTCCTGAGGTTTTGGAAATGTCGAGTTCGGAGTCACCACTTGGGTTTGGGGCTCCGATACCTGCGAGGAGGCCAGGGACGTGAGTGTGTTCAGTACTTGGATGAGGTTGGATATTGATTCGACTCTTGCTAGTGATGCGGAGATGGGTATGACGGCAATCTACTTGGCAGTATCTGACTATACGAATGGAGCAGTTGTGAGGGTTGATGGTGGACTAGCATTGGTCGTTCCTTGAAGAATTGATCATCTCATGAAATTGGATAAGTTCTGTCTGGGAGAAACATACCGATGTCGTTGTGAGATCATAATAATTAGGCCTAGTCACGGACTCCAAATCAGATGGCGATGATGCCTTTTGTGTTTGAACGAAAGGCTGTTATTTATTTTTCACGGCTAGTTTTGTTTTAACGTTTCCATGTAAGCAGATCCATTCTTAACCCAGTCCCTAATGGTCAGGTTATTTAAGATCAGCAAAGCTGTGGAGTCTCTTCTTATCAAAGTTAATGCATCCTAATTTTCCGTGCCCTTCCATATCTTCATCGTCAAGTCGGTGCTTTCTCTGCCCAATTCATGCTCTTTTTGAGGTCGTCAGTTTGGACGAAAGACAAGGCAGGTTTGACGACTTGAGGCCCAGGCGATCGTCATAGATGGCCCTCGATATACTGAGGAATGGCACTCATCCTTATTATAGCTCGTCGCTGTGCGTACATAAATTTCGAGTTATTTTCTTCCAAGTAGTATTCCAGTCTACTGTTTCCAGAGACAATATGTAGTGCTATAAGTCTAGCTCATCAAGCCTTTATCTCTCCGAACCCGAATGGACGTCAGAA